TCAACGAAGGACCCAGTTGAGCCAACAGACCAGTGCCAGCGCACAATAGGCTAATAGTAAAGTGGCCCAATTTTTTAATGATATCAAGCGAGCGTCGACCGCGGGACGGCCAGTGCCGCGGAAAAATGCGGCGTCACGGGAGAGATTAATTGCGTACGCATAAAGCCCTTTCTGGTGGGAGCGTCGTCTGCTAGGCTATTCCGGTGACCGCTCACAGCCCCTGCTCCGTATCAGGGCGCTTGCAATGTCGAAGTGCATCGCCGATACGCCCCTGCTCTTGAAATGCATTCAAAATCCTACTGACGTTAGCCTGTGTAATCCCGACTCTTGTTTCTATATCCCTTTGCGTCATGCCGCCCATCGACATTCTCACAACACGTTCCCGTGTTTTTATGGGCCCTTGAGGAGGCATAAAAATGTATGCGCGCGCCCACTGGTCAAAGAAAACTGACTACCGGGCTACACAGGCTAGATGACGACAGCAACAACGCAGTTAATAATACAAAGGATCAAGCCCAAGCGGAGACCCTGTCTATACTCCGTTTCACTTTGTGTTGCACCGCAGCCGACGCTACGAGCCATCTTGTCCAGTCCATCGCTAAAAGTAAGTCACGTGGCCTTCCCGTTGAGTACAACTGCACGGGGAAGCACGATGTGACGTGTCGGGGTCAAAGCACTGGATTGGTTTTGATGCCTCGTATAGCATTGTCTGCGGTATATAGTTTAATGCATCGTTGCATTGTCGCGTCACCGTGTTTTTAATTTTTGTTAGCAAACATAAAATCAACAAAAAGAAAGCAAATTAAACTTGAGATGACACGCGGTTTTTGCCACGGCCACGCCTGAGCACTATCACGAAAGCAAGCGCTGTTCGTGTTCAGATCTTTGCTTAAAGGCGGTTAGCTATGCCGGCAGATAATGAACAGGGGCTGTGTGCGGTCCACGGAATAGCCTAGCAGACGACGGTCGCAACAGAGAGAGCTCTGTGCGCACACACTTCATCTCTCCCGTGACGCCGCATTTTTCTGCGGTACAGCGCTGGCCGTCCCGGCGATCGACGCTCACTTGATATTATTTAAAAATTGGGCCACTGTACATGCACCTCCCTTTTAAAGGGAAGATGGGGTACTTCTGCATTAGAGAAAAAAAAACACTTGTATGGCGTTCGTTTGGCCTTTAGAATAACATATATCACGATTATGTTTCATTGCGACGCGCCGGAGAGCCATAAGAGCAAAAAGAGCAATTTCAAAATAGGGCTGAAGCCCCGCCTCTCTCGCCCGCCTTGGGCAGCCAAAAAATCCGTCGATGACGTCCCGTACAGCGACTGCGTTTCGCGTTTTCTCGCGTGTAACTATACTTGCGCAGCAAATGGTTTGGATATGAGAGTTCACAGGGTAAAAATACATTAGAATTCACTTCTTACTCATTTTTTTTTCAAAAACCTACATAGCTTCCCTTTAATGATACAAACTCCCTTTTAGAGACAGTCAGATGAAACAACCTCGGTTTCAGTGAAGATAATAAGCACGCTGCATCTCCTATGCCTTGAGAAAAGTCATAGCAGTCACGCACGGTCACACATGTAATGCAGCCAAAATCTATCAAAAATTATATCTGGCTTAATGGTTACATATCTCACGTGCGCACTAAATAAACACGAATCCAGTCCTCAGCGCGGTTACTTCGCTAACGCTTGCAGTTCTAAGCTCGCAGTGCTGTCTAGATCCGAGCGAGCTCAAGGCAAAACGATAACTTGCTAACAATGTAGCGCTGCGCATCGAAACTTACTACCGAACTCGCTGAAACACCACCACCACCACCACCACTCCGATCTACTCTGATCGCGCCACTCTGTGGATGTCCCCCGAACTATTAAGTGAGAAAAAAACTCATAAATTGAATGAAATATTCAATTTATATGAATAAACTGCCGTGGATCCTTCAAAGCATGCAAAGTAAGCCAAGAGCACGACAGTCCCCCATTCAAAATCCGCGAGAAACCCCTCTCCGTCAGTTTAGCCAGTCGCCCACCGGGAGGAAAGTTCGCGGTGCTCCACATAGATGGCGCCACAGAAAGAAAAAAAGATAGGGATAAAACCGAGGGAGGACGCAATCTGATCGCTTATTTGGCTCTTGTTTCCCCACTTGCCTATCTTACACCCTGGTTGTAGGTCACCTCGTAGTAGAGGTGTGCCACGAAATTGAGAAGTTTCAAAATACCAAAATATTTGTTTCGGAATTTTTAAACTATAGCAGATTGAACCTTTCCTATGCGCAGTTTGTTTATCACATATCTAGAGCGGTGTTCCGTGTTCGGGAGACTCCTGCCATTACGAAGCTTTCCCGCAAAGGACAGGACTGCTTTCGAAAGCTGAACATAATCTAATAAATTCTGAAATAAAATATTAAAAAATTGACTAAGCCGATTTTAAAAGGCACGACTTGAGACAAATCACAACCACCAATGCACGCGACTTACCACAGTATCGCGATTTACAATACCATAGCGATTTTTCTTGTAAACTTTTACCACAAGGTTAACGAGAATGTGCAAGCACAGTCCCTCTCTCGAAGGTTGCTTCTTCCCAAGCACGCGGGTGTGCTGCAGCGAAGCGAGATTGTAATGTTTACCGTCGTGGGCGAACTTCCTCCGCACAATTCGAAGCCCAACTGACAAGTTTCGTCAATGTTTTATGCAATGATCGAACCGGATAGTACGGTATTTGAAGCAATATTGAGCTCATCAAGATTTGAACAGGCCTACCACAACATGAAAGGAAGGGGTCTGACAAGGGGTCTAACAAGGTCCTGAACGAGTCATTGGTATTACAATCAGAAAGAAATAACATTTCTCACATTTTGAAGAATTATGTTAAATAAGCCTCAGCGGGCGTCTGCTTTCTGCTGTAGACGAGAAATTTAGCCAGTGAAGTACCGCTGCCAGCCTGGGATCTTCAATGGGCAACATACTGTGGTGATACACGACCGCACGCCGGTGCCAAGCTGATCCAAATAGAAACTGGCAGGGGAGTGGATCGGACCCATGGTCCCCAGGTTCCATAGTGCAAGTTTTGGCCCACATGCTCCGAGCCACATCACGTTTTTGGCGAAATGCAACACAGTGTACGGGGGTAACCACTTGGCAGAGACCTTCGTCCGACAGTTGAGAACCAATTTAACGCAGCAAGCACATGGACAATCCTGAGGCAGAGCAGGTTGGCCGCAAAAAGTGACAAAGACAATGTACGAATGAACAAACATTTAATTGCGAATCTGTGCAGTAAAAGTGAAGAACGACAGTTCCGAGACTGCCGAATAATTTGCGAGGGTCATATACCAGCACGAGACTTATGAAAAAGGCACCCCGAAAAAGTAACACTTTGAACAAAAGCGGGGTCAATGTAGGACGGGGACACGTGAAGGCTGGGCGTTGAGGCACTTTTTTGTTTTTGAGGAGCGCCAACACGTCTTGCGAGACTAAAAATATTGAATACTCTGGGAAACTGATAATATATGAAACTTCATGTAGCGGGTTCATGCACGGTTAAATAGGACTCAACTGCACGCTAGGGTGAGGCATGGCAGTGGACACTGGCACCATAGGTTTAGCTTTCTATTAAAAAATGCTACCCACAGAAAAAATACCAGGAAGCACATTTTGACACGAACGAGTTTGGAAGTAGTGAACACTTTCACTGGGATCCAAGACAAAGGAAAAAATCGCTTGCAGAGGCTACACAACTAAACAAAGACAAACCCAATACAAGAGATGAGCTCTTACTCTACACCTTCGAAGCATGCACTGCAATGATGGATTGCAGTGCATGCTACGAGAAATCCCAGCCAATACAGCACTGGATTTTCTCCGATGGCTCGTAGCAGCTGCTGTGGTCCAGCTCAAGTTGGAAAGGAGAAAAACTGCACATTCCATGTCAAACAGAGAAACTGAATGGGGCTCTACGTCCAACAGTCGAAAAAGGTTTCTGTTGAAGGACTTCGATAGTTACGTTGTATTAAGTAGCTTGTAGAAAAATCTAGCGGGCAAAACATCGAGCAGTTCACACAGAGTGTAACCAGAAACTTTGGCAAAAAAAATTAGGATCTAAACTCACTGCCATGATTGCGGAGGAGGTGAAATGGTATTTGTGTCGGCAGTGCAATTACCTTGGCAATTATTAACATCAACGACTGCGTACAAGTGTGCACACCCGAGAACACTGCAACTGAGAAAATCGCGAGTGGAGGGAAATGATTGAGAAGATCCATATTCCCCTGACAAAGAAAATCTAGAGACTAACCCCAAACAACACGTTAGCCTTGCCTGCGATGTTTTTGATTAACATACATCATTCAACAACCAGTGCAACCACTAAACTGTCCAAACGCAGAAGTTTCAACTGGGCAGCTTACAAACTAAGCATAAATATGGTGCTTCGATGTAACACACAATAAATTCAAACAAAATTGTGAAAAAAGGTAATCTTTTTTTTTGTTTGCGAGGTCAAACGAACAGACATTTCCGAAGACAACAATCAAAGTCAAGACATCCATAATCAAGTGCTCCAAAACACTGCCCACATTCCAATAAACTGCAGGACAAAGTCGCGTGTGCCGTAGAACAAATTAACCCCCGTGTCGCCCACGTAAAAAAAGCAACCTGCTTTTTTGGTAAAAAGCACTTCACAGGTACAGTTGGCAAACTAAGAAATATGGTTCACAAGGTACTTATGTTGATCTTGGTACGACCTGCGCTTACAATTGCAACACACCGGAGTCGACTTGCCAAAAAACTGGCCAAAAATTCTTAGCGAAACCAGAGCTTCAGAAACTGCTGCCAGAGCTGCTGAATGATGTCCTCCCAAAACCTATCGCAGTGATGTTGCAGCTACACCCTTTTTCTAAAGCGATTAAGGTTTAAAAACTGGAGGTTTTACCTCAAACACAGGAAAAAAGTTTGAAAAAATCATAGCAAACACCACGCAAGGTTTGCTGCAAGTAATGTGGTTCCCCTGTCCACAAAACTAAACAAACGAGCACTACACTACGAAGAAGACAGCACTTTAATATAACATGACGTAGGTTACATGCGTCATGAAACGACAGCAACAAAAGCACGCACACAAAGGGGTTAGAATATGAAGTTAGCAGGTTACAGAAATGCTTTAGACAGGTGATGTGGGGACACGTTAAGCTATTTTTTTTTCTTTCTTTCTTTCTAGAGATAAAACAACGGCAGTCACATACAGATGGGTAAGAGAGAATTACAGAGAAAGGAAAAAGAAGTATAACCAATAAAATAAATGGCACTAAGGTTCCGCCACTCTGATGACTTTTTCATTTTTTTTCTTTCTTCTTTACATCACGCAGCAGCAGTTGGGGTCGTTGGAATCCTGCAAAGGCCGCAAAAAGCAAACGTCAATGTGTGAAAAGAAAACTCACGTAACCTATTTTTACGACAGACTGCCCTGACTAGAGTTCCTCGGTATTCCTGGGATGGTGGCAGTATATAACCGGAAGCAAAGCGCCGGCAGAACATGGGCCAAAGTAACACCTACCGACAAGAAATGCATGCTCTCATGCATTATAGAGCAATCAAAAAGTTTAAAACATGTTGCTATGCACTATGTCCAACATCGCTGCACCAACACCAACGCGATAGCCACTCGCAGCCCAAGAAATGCAGAATATGGCTTATTCAAAGCTTTCGCAAAAGCAAAATCTTGAAGACGAAAAAAAGAAGCATCTGCTCTAGGTAATGCAGCTAACCCTCGTTTGACGATGAGGCTCAGGTATGACAGGCCCTAGAAAGTTCGTGAATTTCACGGCGTGCAACGAGCCTTCGCAACACCAATGCGTTTTCAGAACAAGGACAACCCTAACCGACCGATCTCTCCAAGTGTTCGGCACATGCGCGACGCCGTCAGAACTTTAGTTGGCGGGAGGCAGACGGCGGTGCAGGGGAGGGCTCGCGCCGTCTCGACGCTGCGCACGGGCAGAGTTCCGGAGAAGCTGTCGTCTGTGCTGACAAAGTTCACTCGATGCAGTGAAGTCGTACTGTCCGGCCAAATCGGTCTATTACAGTAAAAGCTCGTTAATCCGAATTTCGAGGGGGCTGCTGAAACAGTCCGAACGATACAAACTTTCAATTAATAAAAGTCAACGAAGAGAAAAGAGCCCCGTCCGGCGTTCGGGAGACTAGAATGCTCTCAACCGCCAGAGGCGTGTAAGTCCGCTGCTGCGGAGACCGAAATGCCTGTTTAGACAGCACGAACCAAAATAATCAAGGCCTGCCAACAGCCTCCTTGGATTAAGTCCACGCAAAGTTATCGCGCCCGGATAGCGCCCGCTCGGCAACTAGACCCGAGCAATAGCTCGCTGCAACGTCGAAATACTAGAACACGGGCTTTGAACACTATAGGTGGTGTTGCTTTATTCCTCCAAAACTGGGCGTATCAAACATTCTAAACTTGATGAACCCCTATTGGTTCTGGCATTAAAGGGGCGCTAAACCACTTTCTACGGTAGTCTAGGTGCCAATTCAATCTACAAGCAGTAACCTTACTTAAAAATAAATTACATTTATGTGTAGCAGATTAAAAAAAATTAAAATAGGTATCAAAGGCCAATTATCTCAGAACTATCACACGCCAGAGGGCACAGTCGGAAAAAAATAAGCTCCTCTCCGACGGTGGCCTCTGGTGTTTGTAATAGTTCCAGGGTAATCAACCTTTAATACCGATCTCATTAGAGGAATCGCCACGCATGGATGTGATGTTTGGTTTCTTAGCACGCTTAGAGCCCATAGATTGAGGTAGTGGTCATAGACTATCGCGGAACATGATTTAGTGCCCCTGGAATGCGATGAAGCAGTAAACAAGCCTACAATGTAAACAATACATATATAAGCGAGCGTTCACCTCATTGTCACGCGTCAATTAGTTGCTTTGTTCTGCCAAAACAAGTCTTAAAATGGAGAACAACTATCTGGCGCGCTTTCGCGTGCTGTACCAACAAAGGGTATCGTCACGCCCCTGCGGAGAATTGAGGATTAATTTCGATCACCGGGAGAAGCTTTCAAAAAGGAACCACCCCGACCGGAATTCAAACTTGCTGGGGCACTCTCGGCAAACCCTCCCGGAACCCAGTTTTAATATATATATGCTGTTAGAAAAAGTTTCCAATTGTTTTAATTAATTTTTCTTTCCTGCATAAATTAAGAAGCCATGCCCCATTGAAGAAACCGAAGGAAAGAAGAGGTACTCACGTGCTATTGGAAAAAGGGCTCACGCCCCGTCGAATATCCTCCCGCGCCAGACGACCTTTCCGAGAGGCGCCTGAACTGACGCCGCCGATTTTCCCGAAAGGCCACCTGGGGGCGCAACGACAGTGAGCATCAACTCGTCAGCCGTAACATGCCGCAGAAGCGCTAGAGTTCCGGTTACACTGCTAATTCATGATAAAAAATAGACTTTGCAAACAATGCACTGCCTCGTCACGTGGGTCATAGAAAAATCATCTGCAGAAACGTTCGAAGCACGCATATGTGTTAAAGGTGCTTCGAATGTGCCCGAGGCCTGCCTGCAGGTAATTTTCAAAATGTGTGCAGCGGAGTATGTCATTCGTATCGTGCGCGAGCAACGGGACTGCGGCCGAGAGCTTCAATGCGGCCGAGAGCTTCAATGCGGCCGAGAGCTTCAATGCGGCCGAGAGCTTCAATGCGGCCGAGAGCTTCAATGCGGCCGAGAGCTTCAATGCGGCCGAGAGCTTCAATGCGGCCGAGAGCTTCAATGCGGCCGAGAGCTTCAATGCGGCCGAGAGCTTCAATGCGGCCGAGAGCTTCAATGCGGCCGAGAGCTTCAATGCGGCCGAGAGCTTCAATGCGGCCGATAGCTTCAATGCGGCCGAGAGCTTCAATGCGGCCGAGAGCTTCAATGCGGCCGAGAGCTTCAATGCGGCCGAGAGCTTCAATTACGGCCGAGAGCTTCAATTACGGCCGAGAGCTTCAATTACGGCCGAGAGCTTCAATTACGGCCGAGAGCTTCAATTACGGCCGAGAGCTTCAATTACGGCCGAGAGCTTCAATGCGGCCGAGAGCTTCAATGCTTCCGAGAGCTTCAATGCTTCCGAGAGCTTCAATGCTTCCGAGAGCTTCAATGCTTCCGAGAGCTTCAATGCGGCCGAGAGCTTCAATGCGGCCGAGAGCTTCAACATGACAACCTAAGAAATTCGAGGGTCATTTCCATAGGATTACCGCAGCAAAGAAGCCGCTCCGCAAGGTGTCCGCCGTATGTGTACGACCGTGAGTACACCTACGAAAGCTCATCCCCTAAATGCAGAATCGCGTGCACAGGTGCTAACATCGAGGTTTTTTAGAACCATAGCAGTTTTCTTTGCAGCGTTTCACTTTGCTGGAACATAAACTAGGTTTGTACTGCAAGTGCTGGGAAGTATTCAATACAGGGTGTCTAGCAAATTATTTTGAAATTCCTTGACTTTTTCAGGTTTTCCCAGACAAATTTAGGAGAAATTTCCTGACCGCTGTAGAGGCGATTAAATATATAGGAACATTACAACACAAGGTATTGAGCATTGAGCAGTGTGAGGATCATTTTGCATGGGCTTAATCCAACCTTCATATTAAAAAATATTTGGGTTCGTCCTGCCTGGAATAAATGAGCCCTTTCTCGTCGCGGACATCGTCAGTGAAGAGCCCACTTCCAGAAACACGATGAAAACACGATGCTCAACCACACACGCCTTGTTACTAACAGAATGGCAGCACGGCCGCCAAACGGACACTTTTGGATACCTCCGGCTTGGATTATATTGGGGTCTGTGGCTTTCCAATTTGTTACTAAATCGAGTAACTCCAACTGGATTTAGCCTAGTGTCGTGCCCTCAAAATAATCCAACCCAATCCAAGGCTTCGACTGGGTTTGACGGCTGTTCCAATAGGCATCGGGTAGCACATTCTACATCGTGTGAGCAGAGACCATGCTCCGCTCTAAGCAAACTTTATTGCCCACTTTTCTGCACCCAAGTCTTCAAGTCTGCTCAGGGCACTCAATGGCGTTTCCGGCTCGTTTTCCTTGACTGGGCTCGATTTTTTTACAGTATTCCTAACAATTCCCCGAGTTGTCCTGGTAATTAAAATTTCCCTAACGATTCCCGGTTTTCCCAGTCGCTAGACTACATGTGAATATAACTTTACTGTGCAATACCTGAAATTGTACAGGGAAATTTTTGGGGGGAACAAATTTTTATTAAAACTAAAGTGGCATGACTCTCGATCAATAATGCTACATGCACAATACACCATAGCATGTATGATGTATGATGCAACGACACGATGGTTAGGATTTATGGATGTGTACATTGAATCCATCGGATGGATGGATAAATGAACAGATACGGCTGAACCAAGGAATCTGGCAGCAGCTTGCGCCACCTGGTATATGAAATAGCCAAGGTTGTCGACAGAGTTCACTTTCTGCTAAATTTAGCGCCACCGCGATTTTTTGCAGAGCGTAGCGTAGTTAGCCAGTTTCACGCTTTTGGTGCCGCTAGGCGCAGGAAATTTGAATGTATCAAAATGGCACAATTGGTGCAGCTGTCCCGCCCCTGCAAATAGAGCCCAGGGACAACTAGAAAGTTTTAAAGCACTATATGGAGATAGACAGAATCAAAGCAAGTATCAGCCCCTCAGAAGAGCAACCAGACACGGCAATAGAAGTGTCGAGAAGAGCTCATTGTAAAAGCCACTTCTGAACTACATGCCGACTGAAGAAAGACACAGCATGAACACGTGCAAACGGTTATTATTGGTGTCGAATCAAAGATAAATCAAGCAGTGTTCACCAAAAAAGGACACAATACCACAATTCAAAGGGAAAAACAAAGCTTGTACCCTTTAATTTCACACATCGATGATATCTTACATGCAAGTGTCTTATGAATAACTATTTTCCCTTCTGGTACCGTGAAACCCTTTATTTTCGCGGCCCCGAATTTTCGAAAATTGGACTGCGGGGTCATATTCGCGACCATTAAATTTCGCGATTTCTTAAGGCTGGAATTTACCTATAGAAACCACTAAACTAAAATCACTAAAACCAATTTTACAATTCACGTATTTCGCAAAAATTAGAGGCTCCAAAACATTAAGGGTTTAAAAGTATATGAATGAAAAGGCAAAAAGGATCTTAACAGGTTTTCACACCAAATCAAAGTGCGGGCAATACATAGGCTTTTCAAAAGAAAGCTCTAGATGACTTGATTTAATTTTAACTTTACTGGACCGTTTTCGAACACATGGAGGCCTCTCAAAGGTGGTAACTGAACGAGCAACTTCACAAGAAAATTACACCTATAGTGCAGCCCATCTACAATGGCAAAACACTAAACCGAAGGCGCTCACCTCCTCCCCATCAGCGCTGAGCAAGGCTGTGCGCATCGGTTCAACGTGGGGCCACTGCTGGTTGCGCATGACCAGGTCCGACGGAGGGCTGTGTGCTGCACCGGCGTCGGAGCTCCATACCTGCACAGCATTCCAACTTCGGATGAGTAGTGGTCATCTCACCGCAAAGGAGGTATACTAACGCAAGAATGTGGGCAAGCTGGTTGAAAGAGAAGCTAAAAACAGTTCTTTAAGAGAAGAAAAACAAAAAAAAATGAATGTTTTAATGTAGGCATTTTAAAAATTATGTCCAAGTTTTCTTTCGATCTTATTACTAGGAGTGTCAAAATCGCTAATTAAAATTTCGACGTAGCCCTGCCCGTCGTTGCATGCCGAGAGCAGGAGAGCGTGAAGGCGGATAGAAAAAAATTCAAGAAGAACGCGCTGATCCACAGTAGAGTCGCAGCGACAGCCACGAAACGACATGGCGAAGTTGTCGGGCACCGGCGTCGCGTTCACACACCGTGGGGTGCGTGAACAAAAGCGTACAAAACGAAATAGGCATACGATTATGTTGTTTTGAAAAACGCTCGTATCCTTTTTGTTCCGGATAGCGTAAAATCGCTTTCCCCTGCACGAGCTCTTGGCATTGACATTGCTACAACGGTCTTCTGTTATCGTCTATTTTTTTTTCTTTTCCAGAGAGCGCGTGCGGTGGGTGCTACAAAAGCCTCCGGTATAGAGCGGGTTGTTGATGCTGTGGCATCAACAACTCCGCACGGAGCGAACCCGGGTTTGATGCCCGTGGGCGGCGAGCAATCTTTTTGAAGATTTTGCAACACTGGTGACGGACGTCCTACATTGTCAAAAACAACGGACGTTATTTCAAGTGGTGGCAAGTAACAGTTCTCGCTGCGAGACTAACAAAAGGGACGTCATCGGTCAAACGACTCTGCTCGGCACTGTGCGGGGAGGACGACTATAACGTCGCAATGTCTTCGACGGATAACAGGTGGCGGCAAGGCTCGCCGCATGCCCTTCGGCAATCGCCGCACACACATTTCAAAATATACGAGGTTTACGTTTACTTCAGTCCAAAAGCGCGATGACTGAATTCATGGGACAAAAAGCTATAGTAGAAGACCGCTCCAAACTGTTTTTTAAGGCGCTTCAGCTTTTTTCAGAAGGGCATAATAAATCCTGGTGCGAGGGAAAGGACGGACAAAGGACACACTAAACTCCCAAGTTTTTTTGTTTGTCCTTCGTCCGGTCTTCGTTGGCCAGTCTTCCCCTCGCTCTGGGATTTACGGTGTCTGCCTAGTCTGTTTACTAGGACGAAAAAAATGTTATGGTAGGGTTTCTATTGATACTTCAATTTCCACTACCAGCACTATGGGCTTATGATACAAAGCAAAGTAGCAATTTGCTATAGGAATAGCTACACATACCAAACAGATTTTACTTTTATCGACCCAGGCCAATGTAAAGCAGGCGCACGCATAAAGAATTGGTCAAGCTCAAAGCCAATAGCGGTTTTGGCAGAATAATTTCAAACCGATTATTGGATAGTTTCTTCGAGCCTTTTACTAGTGATGGACCGAATCTGCTCAACTTCAGATTCGGCAAAGTTCGGCAAAGATTCGGCAAAACTTCGGAAAATGTCTGCGCACGCGCGAGAACGCGACGGAGCCTTAGATTGCAAATGGACGCTGTGCAGTCGTGCGGTTACCATCGTGCAGCGTAGTACAACCAGCGGTTACGCCGCGGTGTGGGGTAGGCAACACGGTAACTGCGTTTGTGATCGAGCGTGGTCCTCTTCAATATTTTCTGCCTCAAGAATAGAAGATCGACCAGTAATTTACGCAGTCCACTGCGCAAGTGACGAATGATGCCGTGTATTCTGAAACAGACACATTGTCCCACAATTACTTTAAAGCACTCCTCGCGATTATAACAATTCTTTTTTCGGCTCAAACAACAAAATATTGCTTCTTCAATTAGTGTTATCTCGCAATTTTCATGTGTCTGCATAAAACTAAACACGGAACTGCAATGCTCGACATTGCACATCTTACATTCACTCTCCCCATCTTCCGAAACGTTCGTGTATTCTTAAACACCAGAAACCGGTATTTTAAAGGTTAAAAACGAGACGTTGTGAATATGGGACGCACACTTTCATGCAAAGCCGACTCCAAGTGACTCAGCAACCGTTGCATTCGTTTTCCCGCACAAAACGGTGGCTCCCAGAGAAAGCAAGAACGCAGCGTTATTGCTTTCATTTTAGCAATGTGCACACACACGCCGGCATGCGCTGATGATACCTTAAAACCGAAACTCGTAGCGTGATTCGTGACTGCGCCACGCTCGCTTCTACCCAACCTCCCTGTCACGCCACTCCTGCAATGAGTCACTAAAATTGCCAGTAAACACACAAATACAACATATAATGCACATAAGCCCAGTTATTACTAAACAAGATGACATTCTACAAGATAATTGTATCGGTGTCTTTTTTAGGTTAAGAAAAAAAACACTTTTTTTGCCAAGAAAAACTAAATATCAACGCTAAGCCTAATAACAATGTATCGAATCGAAAATTCGGCACCAAACTTTCGATTCGGCAAAAGTTTGGCCCATCACTACCTTTTACTACCGTTTTACCATGCTTAAAGGCCGGCCCGCAAGCAGAGAGAAGGAACCCGACCCTCACTTTCCTTCTCGCCGCTGTGAAAGGAGGAAATCGCCTCTCGTTTCCTCCTTGCCATTTTCCGATTTTTTTTGTTTTGTTTTTTTACAAGTTTGGGGTGGAGGAAATGAAAGCTTCAAGGATTTGAAAAGATTATCCAGAAGCCAGCCGGCACACCTGCGACAAGGAGCTGACCGAGTAGCTGTTTTGAGCGAGCTTGGCACTTGCTCTTCCCAACGAGTTGCATTGGCTCTCTTTGAGCATTGGTTTGGAAGACGATTCTTTGCTGTTGTGAGAGCACAAATGCCTTCTTCTGCTCAAAGAAGTAGTCATTGAAGTATCAATTTTAATATAAATATCTGATTTGGCATCTTTCGTTGTTTAGGCGGATTCATGGCGACAACGGGAAGTACGAGCGGCGTTTTCTGTATATCAGGGATGGCGCTCCATAGACCAGAGGTTCTGAATCATCATGGTTCGTAAACCGGCAGAGGTGACGGAGGATCCCATCCGTAGTGGGTCTAGTACTTTTCGGTGTAGAACGTTTTGCTGTAGGGCATTTCGGTGCGGACGTTTTGGTGCACAGACATTTCAGTGTACGGATTCTTTTTTCCAACGTACGCAGACACGCTTCACATCGTGTTCGTGCGTTGAGTTGATAGAGATAGTCTCCTCTATAATGTTTTGGCTTTATTATTGGTCCTGCGTGTAGGAAACGACCCAAACAGCAAGACGTTTGAAGTTGTTTGTGTATTCAGAACAATTTTGAATATCTTCAAATGCGCCTCCTCTGCGTAACCGCATAGCTCCGATTGTTAATAATAAATTGTGATGACCTCACACGACAAAAAAAAAAAACAATGTAATTATCACTTGTAACTCATTAGGGAATAAAGGAGGCGTGTGCGGGTACAAAATAAGTGTAATCAAATCAAATATCGATTTGGATCAAGTAAACAAGCCGAATTTGGTGAATGCTAAATCTATTTTATTTGGTATCAAATGTTTGCTCATTCTCGTACAAAAAACAAAAAAAAAAACTGTGACCACAGATCATACACAGAGTATGATCTGTGGTCAACGTCTCCTCCCATGCCGTAATGATGTCGCCGGACGTAAAGAACTGCCTTACAATCGTGCTTATACAGGGCGATATTTTTTTTAACGACTAGACATTTTTCAAAAAAGACGTCAGAGTTACGCAATTTCGGTTTGTGCCTTATCTGTAGTCATCAAAAACACCAAATCATTCATTTTTAAAGAGATGTAGTGGACGTGAAGTGGCTCACGGCGTCCTAAAAAGCCTAATTTGGACGCGAATCGTGTTACCGCAATCTTTTCGGCCGCCGCACTCCTCGCCCCTTCTACAGTGGCGTTGTCACAGCGATGCGCATGATTTGTCGCTTTGGCTTCATGGCGTTAGGCTGTGCCACGCGGAGATGGAGCCCACATAAAATCAGAACTATATTTTCGCGCCCAAATTAGGAGGACGCCGTATAATAGTGTATACGCGCGTTACATCTTTTTAAGAATGGACGGTTTGGTGGCTTGCGATTATGGCCAACAACTTTCTAAATACAAGATGCCGTTTTCTTCTCTAATTAAAAGGTTAATTTGCGAACTTTAGGTAATTAGTCGGTTTTTGTTGCGTTCTTTCTTGACCCCAATCTTCGCCTGGCCCGTATAGCTTACATCCACAAAACGTTAATTTCGACGTTTTTTTCTAATATCTAGTAGGTGAAAAAAAAAAAAAAAAAAAAAACAATAAACGTTGTATATAAAACAGAGGGCAGTTCTTTTCTGATATAAATAAAGCGTGGGGCACGCGTCTTGCATGCATTTCTTTTTTTTTTTTTTTTTCTGGCCTATGAAAACAAATCCCGGGACATTCGAAATTGAGTCTATGATGGGGCGGGCGCTTTATCACGGGGTATTTTGTCATGTTTCATAAGCTCTACTACTAGTCAGAAGGAAGACACGCGAGCCGTATCACGTTGCAAACAGCTGATCGGGTGTTTCTCAAGCAGCTCTAGAACTTTCCAATTGACATTTTGGTTCTTAATACATCTAAAAATGTTTGGTACTTAGTCATAAACATTTAATTTATTAGGCATAATTAAAATACTGCAACTCTCGCAAGACGTCTGCCCAAAACATAAAGGTGGTTTCATTGGCGTAAAGTGGCTGCGTCTTTCATTTTTATGCTTGGTCTTTAAAGATTCGTGAAAAGCATTCGCGACCTTATGTGTCAAGCCGCGTACGCGGACAGCGCGGCCTCCTCGGCAAGTTGTTCCCTCATCGAAGACGACAATGAATAAAAGGTACGATCAAAATCTTAATGCCTGAAGAAAGCGCAAGTTTAAAATAATTCTAAGGGTGTCAGTTGATTTTATTTCTACTATATTCAAATTTCAACACTCGTCGCGGGCAGCATGAAGGGAAGCACTGCACTCTTGGCGCAAACCAGTGCCCAGTCAACGGTCCTACACTCAAACACGCATCACCACCCGACCTGTTTGAAAAATAAATAATTTCCAGTACTTTTGGTAGAAAAAGCAAATTTTCTACTGAGCGTGATATTTTGTGTACCAAAAGTCCTGTAGCCGAGATCGGTAGTTCAATATTCAGGAAGACGAAGAACGACGGATGCATTATTTCCCGCGGAAGTACTGTTTTAACTTTGAATTCCACATAAAATTGTATATGCACAAATTGTGGCACGATACCGAACTTGCTTGATTACTTTTCTTTTAAAGACAACATAACCAGGCATAATCTACAGATATTGCAGAATTCATTTTAATTGGCGTACAGCGCGAAAGAGAAGTATGGACATAAAGAACACAATAGAGCTCTGCATTTCTACTGCATTTCTTTCCGTACTTGTGGACAGTTAGTCCGCATGACTATATTCAAAAACTACCAAATCGTTTAAGCCTACCCCTTTTTATAGTTTTTTTCGTAAATGAATTGTGGCGAATCCCGGCTGGGTTCGGGTAAAGATCTCGCACGTGTTCAAGGACACAATTCGGCATGATTTCCCGCTTGGTGACGACGTTGAGCTGACCGCTGTTCCGCTTCTTTTCTAAGTAGGCGGGGAACGCCAGACGCCTAAATTTGCTAAGCAGCCCCAAAACTTGCGGTAGCACACCTTCCGAACTCCTGGGTTTTTTTTGGAGATGGCCTTCGCCCACCCTGACAAAGCCCCAAACAATTATGTAAGTTGAAAGTAGTGAAAGCGCACAATAAAGACGAATACGAAGACGGAGAGGCAAACAGGACGAGCGCTGACTATCAACTGAATTTTTTCATTAGAAAAAATAGAAACAGCAAATAATATTGTGCGCTTTCACTACTTTCAACATGCATAATCAACTCGCCTGCATCGCAACATTAGTTCAGTTTAATTATGTAAGGGCTGCGGAGGCTATCTGGGTATTCCATTTCTTCATCAGCGAACAAATGCGAACAGAAGAGCATGAAAACTTCGTAATACCTGCTGTCTTTTAATAAATGGCATAATATGCTACTATTGCTAGTTGCACTATTTTACGCGAAGAAAATTGTGATTTTGCGGTTCTATCTTCGTGTTTCCTGTTCTATTTGCTGATACGCAAAATATTTGTCGGGTGTCAAGTTTTCAGTTACATTTGTCGACAGAAACTAAATGCACGTTTGGCCACAAAGAAATTTTTTTCAAAGGCTGAAGATAGATGAAATATACAATAAATTGTTTCAGTTTTTATAGAAGTTTGTTTTTACTCTTCTTAGTAGCTTCAACGAGGCGGCCGTCACTCTAGAAAACACCTGTAGTACGAACCTATATATTATGCCCCAGAAATGGTCAGACTGTGTCCCTCTGACTGCAATATCTTTGACTTGTAATTACTCATGATTATTAGTTTGTACAAAAAACAAGAAACAAGAAAACACAATAATGATACAATCACTCTTCAGTGTGCCGTTGTTAGAACGACAAATTTTCAATTCTCTGGGTAGAGCTCAAAGTTCGGATAAAAATACCCATCTTTTTTCCTTCTGCCGTGATGTTCAAGTTCCGTTCACTCGAAATAAATATGCGGTGTTGTAGCGTGTGTGGCCGCATGCGGAATTATCTGAATGTAAAAGAACTTGTTGTTGGGCAAGTTGGTGTTGACTATATGAGTGTTTTTTAGAACTGCAAAAAAAAAAGCGAAACAAAAAAAAAAAAAAGAAGATAAGCGAGCCAGCCCGAACCCTTCCGCGCTCATATCCAGCCTGCCAAACTAATCCCTGGTGTTTGGGATTGAAGCAGAGAACCTTGAAGGGTTACGGAGATTTTGTCGGGGGGCCGGTAAGCCCATTAGCACTCGTGCGAGAAGGCCGAAAAAAGCGAGGAGGAAAATGGAGGAGGAAAGGGGAGGAGGAAAAAAAGAAAAGAGGGGGAATCTTCTGCCACGCTGAAGAAAATTTTGAGTTCCCGCCTTTAAACGAAAATTCAGCTGAACTCGTGAAGGTTGTGCCCAACCTTCACTTGTCCCCTTCTTAGCTTTGTTAGTTTTAATGTAACTATATCCGTGAACCATGGCCTCAGAAAGTCCAATGCCGACATGGGGGTGGCAAAAGAAAACGACAGATTTGACGCAAAATTAAGCCCAAAGAGACGCCCAGCCATCCTCACCGAGCGAATTTATAAATCAGCTCGATAGACACAAATATTCTTTGTTTATTCTCAATCCTCCACAAAAATAAATAAATAAATAAACACGATTAATAAAAGCAGATTGTCAGGACTGTAATGCCAGCGATCCCCGCCGAACATCCGCGTACAGCGGAAAACCAATGCCCGCGAGCTTCGCGGGTACTGCTTTTCCGCAGCACACGGGTGCTTGGCAAGGAGTGCCCTCAACGGGGCCAGGCCCACTCCCGATGAACGAATGGCACGAATTAAGCGAAAGCTCCACTTGAATTAAGCAGCTTAAGAATGCATCAAAACATAGCGGGAAAAGCAAAATATTTAAATTTGTCCGAAATAAAAGTGAGTACGAAAATTTCTAGGTTGAATTATCGCGAGACCACTGTATGCACCGTTTCACTGCGAGTCCTACCACAGCCGACGCGACGATTCGACGAAGACAATCGAGCAAAGCCAAAACCGCGCCGTTACACCGCTCGTCTTTGTGGATACGCCATCACCAACTTAACCAATCGCAAACATAAAAAAAAGTGGGACCTCGTTGCATCCACTGCACGCGATTGGTGTAGCCGACGATGGCAGATGCGCAAAGGCAACAAGTGCAGGGACGACGCGCTTCGGGCGCTGCTCAACCGACACTGAAGGACGGTAGCGCAGCCTGTGGTCGGACTTAAAGAAAAACTGAGTCTTCGAAAAATGTCGCCCATAAAAAAGCAAGCCAGGGGGTATTTACGCCAGTCCCTCTATGAAAGACTAAGTTTGAACTGACGAAAGCCTCGTTCTACTTTTATGAAACAAATGGAACCAGTGCCTTCGACGAAGAAAAACAATTCAAGAACTGCAACGAACCGTGATGGTGGTTCCCGGTTGGATTACGTGGGTCCGGTGGAACCGGAAGGTGAACTCATCGTTGCCGGACCTCCGGTCAATCCGCCAGCCAGCCAATGGAATCTCCTGAAAAAAAAAAATATATATATATATATATATATATATATATATATATATATATATATATATATATATATATATATATATATATATATATCTCGAAGGCGCACCTTCAAGGATCAGCTAACGCGCGGTTGGACCGTCGCTTACGGGGAGTGGAGCCTGTTCCTTGGAGTCTCGAGCCCGAAAAGGAGAGCATCCCAAATATTTCTCGCAAACCGAGTGGCCAGCTGAGCTGGCAATCTTGTACCGCAATTCGAAAAGCAAAGTCAAGCACCAAATTGTTCTCCGGAAACTTGCACAGGTTTTTATTTCACTTAGAGATGTCAAAATGCCGTGGAATGTTCGCAGTTAACCGAGAGTGAAGCGTCTGTTTTATTTCCACCACCCATACCAGGCTGCTCCAATTTGTCGAGATTCGAGAAAAAACTTTGCCTTGGTGAAGCTAACTGCGAATGTGTTCAATCGTTGCAGACGTCTGCGAGCAACGCAAACGAAAATAGAAATGGAATTTCAAACACTGAAAGTAAACGACAACACAATCTACAGATAACAATGCCCGTGCTTCTTAGGAGAGGGGCAGGGAAACAGTAGCATAGAGAATGAAAGTACTGCAGCTTGTGCAGCGAAAATTCGTGCCGCAGAGCTCAAGGATCACGTGCTCAATTCACTCTTGTCCGTTCTAATGTGAATGAGCACCATACCGGCGTGCAGCCTTGTGTCACTACTGCGTGATGCACGTTAAAAAACCCCAGGCTGGTGGCCGTACTGCACTGGCTAAATTTCCTGTCTACGGAGCGACTACTTCCCACTGTATAGACATACGAACACGACGATTACTTTAGCTTGGGAAAGAATGCAGAAGAAATCAACTATGTGTTAAACTTTGTTTTACCTGAAGTCCTAATGTCGCTATGCCACGAGCCAATAGGGTATATCAAGCGGCTTCAAGTACATAGCGCGACGATATTCGAGCGCCTATTTTATTGTCGAAATGTCAACCACGTTTGTGCTAGACCAGAGACACCAATTTTTTGCTCTTAAAGCACCAACATATTATTGAAGAAAAATTAAACCGAATGTCGTCACGTCACTCTGAATTAAAAGCAGCGCCGCTCCGCGAAAGTACTGAGGCAAGCTACAAGCGCACAAATCCTGTCAAACTTTGCTGAACCGGATTTTCCTTTATTCTCGCACCTATGCAACTCCTGCGGGGGCAACTAAAAGGATCAGGTTTGTAACGAGCCTCTCTGCGTTAGTGATGTCGCGTTTTTCTTGACGGCGTGTTTGCGAGTTTCGCCACTTGTGGTGGCAACGGATCACAACCTGACCGTTTCAGTTGCCCCGCTCTCCACAGGCGTTGAAAAAGCACGGGAGAACAAGGAAACCCGGATCGGTCCTGTTTGACAGGGCTCGCGTCATCGTGCGAGCCCCGTCGTTTTGGCCCTATGTTTTGGCGTCTCTTCGAGCAAACAATTGGCGCCTCCGCGGTGTCGCCATCAAATGTGCTGTGACCTCACACTTCCGAGTATATCCGCTTGAGTTTGTTTCAGCCTTTGGTTCTGTTCCGACTTCCGACAAGACAGTGTTAGGCTCTGTGCAATTCAAACGTGATTTCCCTTTCATGTCACAGGCTTCCAAGCATTGGCCTTACAGCTCCTAGATAACAAGGCTGCAGTTATGAATTCTAAACGCCGCCTAAAGAGGCAACACGGGGCATTGACTGATCAAGTGCCATATCAGCGTCTGACGAAGACTTGTCTTTAATCGACTAGAACTTGACCGTCGGCTAAACGCCGTCGCAGCACTTGGGTCCACCCTATGCCCCCGCGTTTGCCCTTCAGAAGACGTCGAAAATTCGGCACCACGGCCTTACCCAGGAGACGTCTATAGGCTTTAGATGGCAGAAGAGGGCGACGTTTACCAACCTTCGTGCCCTTGTTCTTTACGATGACGTATTTTCCGTCTGGGCAGTGGTCCGAGATCTCCAGGTCCCCCTTGGCGGATGCGGAGACCTGGACGTCGAAGTTTGACTGCTCCTCCCGGTGGGAGAAGGTCAGCCTGCGCTTGGCGCCTCGGAGCAGCGGACTGGTGTACATCTCAGCCCCGCTGGTAGATGCGCCTGAGAGGGACAAAATATCGTTCGCATCTCGCACGGTGAATCGCGTGTGTGCGGCACGGTTAACGCGTCGCTCGCCTCCATTGCCCGCCCTTGACTGCGCTACACGACGAGCGAGTCTGACAAAATCCGTCCCTTCGCACAAAAGGGGAGGGGCATAAAAGCGAGGAGTCTCATTGCGCACAAGAAAGGAGGCGCAAAAAAAATGAAAGGCAGCGTCCTTTGTATGGAGTTTGGTTTTGCGCCGTTAATGCGCGCTGAGCAATGTCGTCAGAACCACCACGACAATGCTGCTTTTTCGCAGTTTACTTTTTACGGACGCTAGTGGTCTTTGCGTTTTGCAGTTCACGTTGCGTTCCCAAATATGTGCCCCCTACACTAGCAGTTTTGACGGGAGCACTTTTGATTCTAAGAAAAAAAAAAAGGAAAACCGGCGATCGCACGTGTGCGCCTACAATCCCGTGCCGGGATCCTACGTGAAAAGAGCAGACAACGTAATGTGCAAGCCTTGTCTTCTGGGTGGTGGTGGTGCGGTGCCTGGAAAGAGTCTCCGCAAGGGCGATTAAAAAGTGGGAAAAAAAATAGGGCGATAGGTGAGGCGAGTTTCTTTCGCTGCGACGAGTCGGAGTTTCTCCCAAAGGGTCGCCAACATCATTTTTACGCATTGCGTAAAGAGAACCACGACGGGCGAGGTTTCCCTGCTCATTTTGAAGTTCTTTCTGTGTAACAAAGCGACACCAGCAACGTGGCCTTATCGGGACCACCACATTCCAAAGTGGCCGAAATGCATGGAACCCTTTCCTCTAGATCATTTTTAAGAGTTAATATAATTTTCCACGGGGAAACGTCGCATGCATTTGGGCCGGTTTGGAATGGCTGTTCCCCAAGGGCCCAGATCACTGGCAACGCTTTCAGACAAAGAAGCAAAAAAGCATCAGTTGCAAGGTCTGCACCTACTGCAGGTTTGTTTCGTACTTGCACAAAGAAAAACACAGACGTATGACATTCTATACAACAAAAATTTTACAAGCGCCCTAACGATTGTACTAGCAAAAGCCCGGCCAACCTATTGTCTGCTCTCATTTTCCGCCCTTCTGTAGCTTTTTTTTCTCATTTCACTCGGGATTACTTACTCCACCGCTTACGCAATTCGCCGCGTTCTGCTCCCATCGCGAACCCCCACCCCGAGATTCTCACATAAACTCTACGGACTCACTGGGCGTAATGTGCAGCCGGGACTCTTCGCCCTCCAGGAGCTTGCGGTACGCGGCAGTCTCGAGGTCCAGAGCCACCTTGATGTCCAGCAGGTTTTGGTACTCCCGCAGCTGGTCCTCGATCTCCGCCCGCAACCGGGAGACCTCTCCCTCCTTGGCCATCAGGGCCCGGCCGTGCCACTCCCGCTCCTGGTCCAGCAGACGCTCCAGGTCTCGCACACGGGCCGTCAGGGACAGGTTCTGCGGCGGAAGACTCAAGTCACGGTCTCTTCCCAATCTTCCTACCAGGAGTCGTCCTGCGATTCCTGCCCTGGCCTGGGGAGCTTCTCGGTCACAACAGCGTGCAAAGACCACGACATCATGAAATGGTCATTCACTCTCTCCACCTTAACGTGATGGTCAAGCCGATCCACTTCTCCAGACGCTCGAAATGCCGAGAACAAACGAGTGGAAACAAGGTGACTACCAACTAAATCGCATCTCACACCGTCGATACTGCATTAAAAAAATTATTTCCGCAAAAATTTTTTTTTTCACAGGCATGTTATAATTTTACTTAAAGGAGCTCTGCAACAGTTTCAATGCTTTGCTTAAATCATTTGGGAGTTCGTGTCTAGACCTATCTGAAGTAAAGAAAAACCGATTTTGCCTGCATGTCCCAGTTTTTATTTTAAAAATGGACAAAGATTCAGGTTTTCGGCACCTCTCAACTCCTTCACCATCTTCCTAGTCACGTGCGCTGTGACGTCAATGGGGTTTACGCGGGGTTCCGGTGAAGCTTCCTCTTTAGAGCCATCAATGGGCAGCGATAACTCATTCGCTCGCGACCGCGTGACCACGTGCTAGCGGGCGCAGCCAGCGCAACGCGAGCAATATGGTGAAAGGATGAAGGTTTCATCCGGGTCCGGCTATCCACTTCCGGTTCTGTCCCCCTCCGGCTTCTGGCGGCTGTTCGCGGTAGCAGATAGAGCTGACGGTTTTGTGGACCTAGGATAGATGGCGCCACTAAAACTTCGTATAACAAAAGATTTGTCGATGATACCAGGTTTTTGACACATTTATATTCATGTTGAAACAACAAGATTTATAAAAAAAAGTGACTTTTTATCGAGCAGGTATTCGCACAACTTGCCATCTTTCTAAAAGACACCCCATTCACGTCATGCAACCTGTTTCCTATGGCCACCGCTCGCGGCTGCAGGTCGCGGGATATTTTAATTTTTACCTCTCGATTACGCGGCGGAATCGCAACATTTCGAAGGAAGGAGGTGTGTTTTCCGTTCTTTGTGACAAGATGAACAATGTGAAAAGCAAAAGATGCCAATTTTTTCAACGTTAAAATCTTTGCATACCTTCTTAGAAATAAAACAACAAAAAACTTTATTTTCAGTTGCTCTTTAAGGTAATTAAATTAAATTTTAACAAAGCATCTCGGCCAGTTGTACACGAGTTCAACTTAAACCAATGAGGTTGGTACTACAAGTGTTGGAAAGAATTGCATTAAACTTTAGTGCGAAATATATCTCAAATCGCTCAGAGAAAGAAATTTATTTTAGAAAATATGTAATTAAAACCGGAGGGGCAAGACTCGGCAACAAATTTTAGATGCTACATTGTATGCGTACAATATAACTGTACATATACAGTCGGGGACAAAAGTCCCCAGGACGCACGAGCTGCGACTGTAACGCATCGCTCTGCCATCCGCCGGCGGGTCGCCTGGTTTCGAGATCACACAAAAGCGCATGCGCGTCCTGTGCCTGCAAGCGTGTGTGTTTTGCCGCTTTTCTGCGTCGCGGCGCCTAACTCGGAATCGGGCGCGTGGTACCGCCTCGGAGATAGCGCTCACCGCGCTTACTGACATGGCAACTATGAAGCAGGGCGTCACGGCTGCTCAACTGAGCGATAAGCCCAGCTGGTTATAAAGCAAGATGCGCTGACACGGCGAAATGCAGCACAATGCCGCAGGCGATATCTCCAGTTTTGGAATGTGTAGCAGACGCCCGTCAGCCACAAGCGCTATCTCCGAAGCGGCACCACGCGCCCGATTCCGAGTTCGGCGCCGCGCCGCAGAAAAGCGGAAAAACACACATGCTTGCAGACTCAGTAGGACGCGCATGCGCTTTTGTGTGATCTGGAAACCAGGCGGTCCGGCGGCAGATGGCAGAGCAATGCGTTTCAGTCGCAGCTCGCGCGTCCTGGGGATTTTTGTCCCCGACTGTACAATGTATGACGCAGCAGTACGATGGCTAGGATGTATGATACACCGAATCCATCGGATGGATGGATTGACAGATATGGCTGAACCAAGGAATCGGGTGGCGGCTTGCAGCACCTGGCAACGAAATAGCCAAGGTTGTCGACTGAGGTTTCGCCATCCGCTAAACGTAGCGTCGCCGTAATCTTCGGAGCAGCGCGGCACAATCACGGCCGATTTCTGGCTTTTGGCACCGCCAGGCGCAGGAAATTGTGATTGTATCCAAATGGCGCGGCTGTGCCGCCCCTGGCAAGCTTCCGTGAACTGAAGAACCGAAAATCGACTGCTGCGACACCGCCACGACCGTGGAGGGCGACGAAACTTCTACGAGTCATTGCGTGGAAATTAAGGTCATTTGTTAGGACGTTGTTAAAACACCGGTTGGAGACTTGGTCGAGGCACCGCACCTGAACTGTCTTTGAGTACCGAAAATGTTGGGCATCAACTCTAGACTTAGTAACAAGCTGAAACGACTGAGAAGAAAGGGACAGGACGGTGGGCTTACTGACAACTGTCAGTTTAATAGAGCATGTAGGGAAAAACAAGGTGGAAGTGAAAAAGGAGAAGAGAAAGATAGAAATAAACTCTCAGCTGCCACTAAGAGAGAATATTTAGTTGTAATGACATGGATGCCGAGAGCACCATATCCCATGTCGGCACCCAGAGGAGAAGAAGAAAATGCGCGCTACAGTCCATGCCAGGCGTCATGAGCAGTTTATTCACTGTGCGGCTAGAAAGTCTATCCTGAAGGCAACAGTGAATCAAATGCTCATGACGCCTGGCATGGACTGTAGCGCGCCGACATGGGATATGCTACTCTCATTATCCATGCCATTACAACTTTTTTTAAAATATATTCTTTAAAAAAAATGTTTATTTCGATTTTTAAAGCTAAATATTTTGTCTTAATAGCAGCTCAGAGTTTATTTCTAACTTTCTATTGTTTTTCACTTCCACCTTGTCTTTCTCAACACGCTCTATAATATCGACAGTTGTAAGTGAGCACTCTGTCCTGTCCCCTTCCCTTAGTCATTTGCGCTTGTTAACTCAAAGTCTAGATGTTCAGCCAACTAGTCTCCCCCCCCCCCCCCATTGATCTTGATCAATTGGGGGGGGGGGGGGGGGGGGGGGGGGGCTAGTTGGACCTGGTTCCCATGTATGCGCACTGTCGACACTCGACCATTTTGGACGAGCATAACCCGTCACCCCGGAGTTGTCCCGCAAACTGTTAAGGACGAGTGCAGCTCATCTGAGGCCAGATTCATAAAAAACCTCTTACCTACGACAACTTAGCTACGAAGTTCGTAAAGTTACGATCATCGTAAGATGAGGCGAGAACTGTACTCACAAACGCATTCTTAAGTGAGAGGAGGAAAGTTACGACCTCTTACGGAGAAGCGATGACTTCCGGTGCTGTTGCTATGGCAACGGCGTCTTCGGCAAAACGAACAACCAATTAGAGAGCTAGGCACAGTTCGGAGCACTTGGATTGTTAATAACAAACACAGGCTAACCACTCGTTGATAGACATCTCTGTGTATGTCCTGTCCTGTCTGTGTGTAAATGTGTAGTGTTCAAGCTGATTCTCATAAACACGGGCGACCTTTCCACCACCGCTTGTCTGGGGTTCGTGTCCGTGCAGTGGTATATCGACGCTAACACGATTTAAACGCTTCGTTGACTGCTACAAACTCGATCGCTACAAAGTGAACACAACTGTCATCGTTGGTAAAAGCCCCGTGCCAGTCGTTTGCAAAGAGACGTAGAAGAAAACAAACCGCCGCGGCGTTTCTCGCGGCCTTGGAATTGCAGGAGCGAGCCGACGTTAAAAAAATACGTTTGAACTACGAGAGTGTCAGCAATACGTTTGATCGAAGTGCCGGATTCAGATTGCGTTTCGGTAAGCGCTTCGGAACCGATCTTCTACGATTGCAACTCGATACTGACATGACAGTCGGAAAAGAAAGGTTGGACCGGCATCGCGTAGCTCCCACAAACGGATATACAGCTCGACAGTTAAAAATGGCATACTAATAAGGAAGTGTACAAACCGTGTTGCGAAGGTAATCCATACGGCGTTTATTTGAGCTCTATAAAACACAAAACAAGGAGATTAGAATCGAGGAGTCCCTTTTCGACGACAGCGTTCGTCACCGCTGCCTCGGAAAACAAGGTGATAACATCATATTTGTTAGTCACTTTACGATATATAACATAGTCGTCAGCAAACAAGCTAATTGAAGATGAAACACAGGAGGGTAAGTCATTGAGAAATATAAGGAAAAGAAGAGGACCCAGTACAGAGCCCTGCGGCACCCCGGACGTCACAGAAGCTGAAGGAGAAGACATGTCATTCGCAAATACAAACTGAGACCGGTCAGGTAGGAAGGAGTGAATCCAAGATAATGTACCGGAATCAATACTGAGTTTGTTTAGTTTATGAAGTAGTAGACTATGTGATACCTTATCAAATGCTTTAGCGAAACCAAGGAATATGCAGTCAGCTTGGGAACTTCGATCAAGAATAAAGTGAAGGTCGTTAGTGAAGGTTAGTAGCTAGATTTCACACGAAAATGACTTACAAAAACCGTGTTGGGCGAGAGAAAAAAGGTTATTAGACTCCAATAAGTTTACTAAATGTGAAAAAATGACGTGCTCAAGAATTTTGCAAGATATGGGGCGGTAATTAGAAGGAGAATGTTGATCACCCGTTTTGTGTATCGGCACCACCTTTCCCACCTTCTAGTCGTCGGGTAAACACCCACAATTAAGATACTGATTAAATAGTTTAGAAAGTATTATAGAAGAATATTCTTTGGTACTTTTTAGGAATTTTGAATTAATAGCATCTACTCCCGCAATGCTTTGGTCGAATCTACGAGGCGCATTCAAATATCGCCACTAGGGGATACTGCGACCCCCCAGCTATGTTATCAAGTTTTGCGAAGGAAAGACTGAGAAAAAAAAAACACTCCCTTTCGTCCTTGAAATTACACCGCAAGAAAGGAGTTTCATGGTCAGTGGCGTTGCGGCGAGTATTCCTGGGTCCC